AAGCATGGCAGCTGGTTTGAGCTGGTCCTTAGTTGGTCATAAGCTGGTTTAAGATGGTCATGTGCTGGTCTTAAGCTGGTCCTAAGCAACTAGCTCCAGCTCAGGACCAGCTTAAACCAGATCAAACCAGCTGCCATGCTTCAAAACATACCTAACCAGCATATGCTGGTTTTTTCAACAGGGCTATCAGTGCCTTCCAAATATAATCTATATAATATTCCAAATATAATATAATGTTGTGGTGTCGGAATTGTTAAACATTACAATAACGTTCAAATTAATTATTGTTAATGATATTCTTCCGGGACGTGGAGGATGATGATGGCTGTTTACATATGCTTGGGTCAAATGAGCACAGTGAAACCGTGGAAGCGGTAATTATGGTTTTAAGACAGAACCACATGACCAACCACGCAACACTTTAGGCCCCGTAGACCTCAAGGGAGAAAACGGCATGACAAAATGTTATTTTCTTGTTATGCATGAGTTAGTTAAGGGGCGACATCTCGGACAGATAACACAGGAAGGGAGACCCAAGTAATCTCACATGTGTATTCGCTGGGGTTTTAAAAGAGATCTCAACAATGTCTTATGATGTGCTCAGATTTGCCAAGATATTATAGTCTGCAATCAAATGTTGATATAATATAAGTCAGTGAGTCGGTTTGATCATATTCCCCCAGGAAAGAAATATCACCAATGAGATCTCTTTAATGTCTTAACTGTTCCTCCTAGTCAGCAAAGTGACTTTCACTTTTCTGTTTCTCTTAAAAAAGACCCCAGTTATCTCACACATGTCTCCTCTAAAGACTCAAGAGAGATTGCAATGTCTCAAACTGTGATCAGGATTGCCAAGAAGCCTGCAATGAAATGTCAGAGATCTCCATATGACTTAAGACCAAAAGATTTGAGTTATGCGTCAGTGTTTCAGTGTTTAAGTTACAGATTTTAGTAGCTTGGCAAAGCTGAGAAGAGTTTGAGACTCTAAAAACCAGAGGAGTCTCCATTGTTGCTCCTGTCTAGAAGAAGAAAAATTATATATTAAAGATGTCGCAATAAATATCCTTTAAGGCACAAATCATGGAGGAGCCCATCTGATTTTGATCTGAAGAGGAAACCCAATGTATGCGTTTCTTAGGAATGTTACTGAAGGTCGTGAAAACTTTCAGACCTTCATTTAGACTCCATCACTCTGGCGGTTTGGTTTACATTCACTCTGGAAATGTTGATTTTGAGAGTGAGCTGAGGGCAAAAAAATGAAGGGGAAGAGAGAGGAGAGGAGGAGAGAGAAACAAAATGCTCTGTTGCTTGGTAAATCGTTGACTCCGGAAGAGGACTTTCCCAAGCTCTCGCCACGCAGTGCTCCGATGGGAATAGCGCAGGGAATTGTAGGAATCTGTCTGCGCTGAGGCGCGTAGGGCCAGTGGGAATGGTCAGGCAGAACCACATAAGCGTGAGGGAAAACAGGAAGTGTATCTGGAGATCTGGCTTCGAGTCAACCAAGAGCAGAGAAAAAGTTGCGTTATGTGAGCATGGGGGCCACCATGAGTTGCACTGATCGAGGACTACCACCTAGATCAAAGATTAGTATTGTAATTCCTTTTGGAGACTGAGACAACTGCATTCAGATCAGCCAGAAATGGAACACTTCTACTGTATTTTACTGAAATGGATATTCATTTCAAGCGGACTCTTGGTAAAGATTCTAAATCTTCCAAAAACCACGGCCACCAAAAGTCATCTCTATCTTCATTCTGCATTCTCAAGATACTTCACAGCTCTGGGAGAGAAAGACATTCTGTTAAAATGCATTGTCTCATCATGATCGGACCAAACATGATGACCTCTCAATGACCTCATCCTTCCTATGAAATTTTCCAAGTTTAAAGATACAAGTTTTTCAACAGACAGGGACAAAAACAGAAGCTCAGCCACATGACTCCCAGAAAAAGAACAGTCTTCGGAAATTCTGTGGTTTTCCCTTGTAATACAAGAACTCCAGAAGATCTAGAAACTGGGAAACTGCATGTTCCTCTGCAAACATAAGCTTTAATGCATCACCAGGTGTTAGAGCTCAAATATTTCCATGATTTTCAGGGTAGGATTGTTCCCTGGCGTGGAAGGACAGGCATTAGTATTCAAAAAGGGTTTGTGCACATTTCACAGAATGCTCTTTGAGAGCCAAGTTGGTTAGTATGAGATCAGTTATCCAAACCACTCCTGCCAATTTTTTCCGCAACTTTGCCTCCAGTTACAATTTGCTAATGTTCCGCTGCAACATTCCCAACACAAACATCTTACCTTCTACAAGGTCCTGAAATAAGTCGTGTCTAAAAGGTAAAACTCATTGTGAAACTCTTGATATTCGCATTTGCTGCAACAAACCTTAAGGCCAGAGTTAGGGTTGCTGCAGGTCTCCACATAAAAACAATATAATAAGAATTTGCATGTGAATCTCCCAAGACTTTCTGCACAACAAAGGTACCGTCTAGACATGACCATGTCATTCTAAGGACTCAAACAAGATGTTTCCCCTCAACAAAAAAAAGTAGATTTGCAGAAAGGGTATTCTTCTGAAGTGAGAACCTGATACAGGATTAGTTATCAAGGCTGTGCATGTACATACCAGGCAGTGTGTTTGAGCGCGACTGTAACAACTAAAGCATCGTGCAAAATCTCAGCCAGGTGTGTCTCCACCTGCACAGATGGACAAATTGCATAACTCGCATTACCTGAAACATCTCTGACAGGTAAAAAGAGCTTTGATGCTCAGGCAACAAGTGGAGGAAAAACATGAACTTGTCAGTCACGTTGAATGTAAAACAAATGACTTAATGATACCCTTCCATTTAAGCAAACATGGCAGGTTTGGTGTGCCAAACAGGTTA